TCTGTTACCTGCAGCCAAAGAACCCTGATGTGTAGCCGTGTAAGAGTTCAAGTGCTCATCATGAAAGTTGGCACAGAGTTACCTCTACCTTTAATATCCTCTCACCTTTTTCCTTGATAAGAGAACCTGACTTTTGTTCAATAATGCATATATTCCAGGGAGACAACTGCTTTCTGGGTAGCCATGTGACACAGTTCTGGGCAAGAAGACATAAAACAAGTCTGAGCTTTCCTCATACAGAGGAAAGGTGTGACTAGTAAGGCCCTTTCCCACAAAGATATGATGTCTGGAGCTTCGTCCTGTGGTAACCATATGGGCAAACATGAATGCAAAAAGGCAACATGTTAAGAAAGGAAGAATATCAAGAAAATAGTAGATTTTTGATGGCACTACTGAGCTTTTGAACCATTGCTAGCTACTGCCTGCCTTGTTATGATAGAAAAACAGACCCCTAAAATACATATTTGTTTAATACACTATTAGAATTTCCATTACTTATAGCTGAACATATTCCTTGCATGATAGATCCACACATAGGGGCATGGTTTCTAGAAAGCTCAATACAGCTATACATGGAATATTGTACAGCATTTCTGAAATGAGATAAATCTGTATGTAATGACATGGAAAATGTGTAGGCTATATTGTCAAGCACAAAAATCAAGTGAAGAATAAAATATATGATCACATTTTTAAATGACAATAAGCATTTATATGTTAGCACATGCATATAAAAAAGACACATAGAGGAATATTTAGCAAGCTGATAAATGTATTACTTTTATAGATAGCAAAAACAATGATTAAAATATATTTATCTTTTCTTCTGGCAATTCCCCTCCTGAGAATTCTTCCTGAGAAATCTTCTGAATCCACATAGAATTACCTTTAATGATATTCTTTGAGGCATTGTTTAAAGGAGCAAAAAGTTGTAAACAACCTAAATTCTAATAATAGGAAGTAAGTTTTGAATGTAATAGTTACATTAGCCTAATGAAATACAATGCAACTGCTTAAAATTCAATTGTAGAAATGTATCTAGTGAC